AGGGGCTGGACGCTTGCCTAACCTTTCCCGCTTTTCTCCCCAAAGGCATATGGCCACGCACTCTGCTCAGAAGCCTCACCAGTGCATGTACTGCGAGAAGATGTTCCACCGGAAGGACCACCTTCGGAACCACCTGCAGACCCACGATCCCAACAAGGAGGCCCTTCACTGCCCCGAGTGCGGCAAGAACTACAACACCAAGCTGGGCTTCAGGCGCCACCTGGCCATGCACGCGGCCGCCAGCGGTGACCTCAGCTGCAAGGTGTGCCTGCAGACCTTCGAGAGCACCCAGGTCCTGCTGGAGCACCTCAAAGCTCACTCCAGGCGGGCGTCCGGCGGGGCGAAGGAGAAGAAGCATCCGTGCGACCACTGCGACCGGCGCTTCTACACCCGGAAGGACGTGCGCCGGCACCTGGTGGTGCACACGGGCAGGAAGGACTTCTTGTGCCAGTACTGCGCTCAGAGGTTTGGGAGGAAAGACCACCTGACCAGGCACATGAAGAAAAGCCACTCCCAGGAACTGCTGAAGATTAAGACGGAGCCAGTTGACATGTTGGGCCTGCTCAGCTGCAGCTCCTCTGTCGCAGTGAAGGAAGAGCTGAGCCCCGTCCTGTGCATGGCATCCAGAGACATGATGGGTGGTAAGAGCTTCCCTGGCATGCTGCCCGTGGGCATGTACAGCACGCATCTCCAAACCATGCCGAGCTCAGGCATGCCCCATTCTTTGGTTCCTAATTCTCTTCCAATGGGAATGAGCTATCCTCTGGAGTCTTCTTCTCCCATCTCCTCCCCACCGCAACCTCCTCCAAAGTATCAGCTTGGATCTACCTCATATTTGCCTGAGAAACTACCCAAAGTAGAGGTGGACAGCTTTTTGTCAGACTTCCCTGGCAGCCTGTCTCTCTCGTCTGGTGAGCCTCAGTCCTCTTCGCCTCAGCCACCCGCCCTGGACGAGGCTTTGCTTTCCAAGAGCCCTGCTAACCTCTCAGAGGCTCTCTGTGCTGCTAACATGGACTTTTCTCATCTTCTTGGCTTCCTCCCCCTAAATCTTCCTCCTTGCAATCCTCCTGTGTCGTCGGGGGGATTGGTCATGGGCTACTCGCAGGGGGAGGCGCAGCCACTGCTCACCACTTTGCAACACCAACCTCAAGAGTCTCCCGGAGCCGGGGCCTCGCTGAACTTTGGGCCCCTCCATTCGTTGCCCCCCGTCTTCACCTCCAGCTTGAGCACAACCACGCTGCCACGGTTCCACCAGGCGTTCCAATGAGCTGGAAATAGCACTGGAGAAGAACAGGTCTTTCTGCCACCCTTTCGTGGAGATGGAGAGCCTTAAAAACGCACAACTCTTCCTTCCCTGGGGGTGTGAAAGCTCTGCAGAGCTGGGGCAGACGGGAGGTTTCTGATCTCCGAGGGAGCACTTGTAGACTGGAACAGCTGATATCCCATTGTGAGTCCCAGTCCTGTACAGAGGAAAGATTTCAGCTAATAGACTGGATATATTTTATCTAATTTTTAATCTGTGAATCAGGAGCCGCGCTTAGCACTGACCTTCCCTGAGAATCCTGGAGCTGTGTTCCTCTCTGGGAAGGGACTGTCCCTGAGAAGGAGTTGAGGCTCTTTCATCCTGAGCTAAACTTTTGAAGAGTCCAGCTTCCATTTCATGTTACCACACTGCAATTCTGGCAAACCAGCCAACACCTCCACATGGAGAAGAAGTCAGGATACCCTCTCTGTATGAAGCCAATGGGGAAGAGGCTGTCCTTCCCCACTACCTCTCATCTCATCGCCCAACACAGCTTACTCCACATCAGTGTTAAGCAACAAGCCCGTTTACATAGTGAATTCAGCGTCGTCACCTCATTCTTCTTCAGGAGCCATTAGGTTAAAGTTGTTACAGTGAACATTGTTTACACAACACAAATCTGTTTTCTGCCAGCCATTACAAAAATAGGAGGCACCAGAATACACTGGGTTCATCTCTGGTGTAGCTAGAACACTGTTTACACAGCGAAGTCAGGTTGCACTGATTTCTCTTCACTTACCATGTTCTTCCCCCATGGGGAAATACACTGCTTTCGGACCACTTCAGCCTCTGCCCCTGCAGGCAGCAACTTCCCACCTTTTCTCGCTGGCTATTCCATGTGAAGGGGATGGAGCAGCTCTCACAGCTTAGCTTGGTGTGTGGTGTATGGACAGAGCCCTCTTAAATATCTCCCCCAGGAAAAGAGATCTGGAAACCAAAGTATGTGAGAGAGCTGGGTGAGGAGCTCAAGGCATCGAGCACTGGCCTACCAGGCGTGGGTGAGAACAGGCTGCAGGCCCTGCTCCCTGGGTTCCCTTGGGATGAGGAACAGAGTATGAGTTTCTGAGGTTTGGGGTTTTTTACCATAACCGTTCAACAAGGTCAGCACCCTTTTTGGCTTGTCCAGGAAGCAGTCTCGAGGTATATTTTGACCTCAGTGGTGGTAATATCCAGAAATTGGGGAAAAATTAGTCCCACCTTCATGTTACACTCTGTTAGTGTATCTGAAGCATTTTCCCCAACACCAGTAGTTCTAACAAATGCTGAGGGTTTGGGCCTGCAGTCACCCTTTCACTTTGGATTTGGTTCCACTGGTCTTTTTTGTTCTCCCCTTCTCGAGCCTTCCCTCCTGAAGTTAAAGTCCTCTATCCCTTGCTCCCTGCCCCACCTCTTAAACTCTCCCATGGGCTGACTACCTACCAGGGCAGAAGGGTTACACTGGGAAGTGGCAGCCAGCTGCTGATGTCCTTTAGCACCTGTATTGTCTCCTGCTCCCGTTTTCCTGGGCACTTGTACTGCAGATGGGGACATATGGAAGTCACTCACTGTGCAGTGATGCGTGTTTATGTCTATGGACAGGCAGATCTTCATACCTCAGCATGGGGGAACCATCGCAGGCCAATATAAACCAGGAAATCTTGTCAATGTTGTTCTCCATAAATCTAGAAGATGCAAAATCTACCTCTACTCTGTTATCTCAGCTCCTTGGGCAAAGCCAGATGCTGTCCTCCCTCATCTCCCCAGAGCACATCCCCTTCAGTCGATGCAGATTCCTTCCTGCTGAGCCATGATCCCCACCGTGTGACACCAGCCAGGCCTCACTCGGTCACAGGCTTGTCCCTCTTCCGTTTTACTCCAGAATTTTGTTTTTAATTTAGCTTAGTAATTCTTCCCAGAATGACTCTTTAGCAATCCATTGATTCTCCAGGACATAGATCGGTTGTTTTAGGTTAGCCAGCAATGCTGCAAATAAGACTTTTGTATCAAAATGTAATATAAGATTTATTTACCTCAGCAATATCCTGTGGCAATGATCTCCCCGAGTTGAATGCAGTACTTTTTTTCCTTTTCTCCACTGGAAAATGTTGCCTTTCCAAGCCCAATGAGTGCCTTCTTGTTCTCTAACCTAGCAAAGGTAAACAGGGCATTGCAGCCAGTCTGTTTACCGGCATTGAATACCTCAGGCCTGTCTTCTATTGCTTTGCTCTTTGCAAATTAAAAGAACTTCACACTGTTACCAATTATATGCAAGCCTTATCCCTGTCTTCAGTTGAGAGGATTATTATTATTTTTGAGAAATAAATGGTCAGAACTGATCACTCGCTGCCAGTGAGGATTATCAGATTTATGCAATGCCATCACACACCTTCTCCCATGCAGAACATTCAGCTTTCTTGCTTTCTGCCTACATTGTACTCTGAACAGATGTCATCACTGGAATTCCTTTAGCAGTGGTAGCTAAACTTAGAGCCAGGCATCTTTTTCCTACCAGTAGTCTGTCAAAGAATAAATGGAATTCATTTTGCTATGATTTGCACGTGTGATTTGCTTTCCACAGCTACTCTAACAAGCAGAACTGCCATAACCTTTGTCAATGCGAGGAGAGTCTAACCCAGCAAAGGCAACGCGTCAGATACAGCACTGGAACTGATTCCAGGAAAACAAATTCCAAGTTCCTGTTCCACAACAGAGTTTAATCTGCAAGTATTTTATCAGCCACTCTAAAACCAGTAAGACTAATTCCATTTGAAATAGCGAGTGTGCAGTTCACAGAACAGAGTATATTATAATTAACTTTTACCTGTTCATAAGAGAAAACTTTGAGCATCTAAGCTACAGCACCTGAGAATCCCAGTCCACTAGGAAATATGTCCCAAGCTATTAGGAAAACCAGTAGAAGTCAGCTCAGCCAAGCTCCTGCCAGTGCAACTGGAGGTAAGGGACAGGGGTAACCTTGGCATGCCGTGAGGGGGATTGCTGCAGCACAGCCTGGAATCTGTTCTGTGGTGTTTGTGCAGGGCTTTGTGCATGAGGCAAGGGCAGACACTGTGCTGGTTATGTGATATATAAAAAAAAAAAAAGCTTCATCCCACACAAAGAGTTTGGTTTGGGTTTTTGTTTGGTTTGGACCACGAGTCTGGGGCCAGGACATGGCCGTGAGTCAGCCCAGCAGAGCCCTGTGAACCACCCCAGTGCGATCTCTCTGTTCCTGGCACACCTGGCTCACAGGTGGCATCAGACTGAGCCCAAGAGGAGTGACTACAGCGAGTAATTGGTCAGGAGGGTTTAGTTCAATAAATATTTTAAAGGGTGGCTGACTTGGGGGATGTCCAAGAGGATAGGAATAGGAACAGTCAAGACTGCACTATATATATATTTATAAAATATAAACCCATAGAGCTCCAGTCAGCAAAAGGACAGGATAAGAACTTGCCAGCCTTTATAAATCAGACCCTGGATTCTCAAAAAGCCAAGGACTTAATGTCCCACTACTATTAATAATTCCAGCTCACTCACTAGCAAATAGCCAAGCCAAGCCATTCCCTGGCAGCAGAGGGTTAACTCACCTCAACTCAGGTTGCCAGAGCCCTGTGAAAGGCTGAAGATCTTTTCCCCCACGGGATTACAGCTCACTCAAAATCCATTTGTAGGAAGGAACAACACGTTATCTTGCATTTTCTTCCACTGAATTTCACTTGACAGAATACCCACACACCGTGTTGTGACAGAGCCCCTTCTCTGTCTCACAACAGCACTGCTCTTTAGCCTCTGTGTGGAAAAATGGTGTCACTTCAACTGGAATCCCTTTTCTCCCTTCAGTAGATTGATGATTTCAGTACTTTTGTTGTGAGCTCAGCTCTTTGTTCTTTAATTCCTTCCTTGCTGACAGGTGAATAGCAGCTGCTGGGAAGATTTCCTGCAGTTCACTGAAAAATCCCCGTTTCCTTTCTCTGCCATCGCACCACCTTTTGCTGTCGGGACAGAACAACCCCGAGGAGGCATTTTCTGCTGCCTGCAATTAAAATTTCCACAAAGAAATCTTCAAAGATGCTTTTCCCATCACCCGACCTTCTTGCTTATCCTCTCTAATCCTGGTTAGTCAGGCTGACTGAATTCTCCCTCAGGTGCCTATTTTTAGTTAATTGCCTGCCCAAGCCCTGGAGATATTCTGCCACCAGAGTGAGGTGGGTGAATGGCTCGAATAGAAGCACTTCAGGTTTCCAACCTCATCCAAAATTTGCTTCTTTCCCATAACTTATTTCTGGTATTTTTCCCCCTTCTCAGAGATGGGAATCGCCTGGTGAATCTCTGAATCCCATCCTGCCCGACCCCGGTGTGGTAAAGAGAAGGTGGTGTGGTTTAGTCTGACCTGCTGGACCAGGACTGGAGAAACCTGGGCTCTGTTTTCACCCTGATCCCCAGCCCTGGCACTCCTCACCCTTTCTGTGCTTGTTTCCCTGTAACCGGGCCACAGCCATACCAATCCTCCCTTGGGAAGCAGCTGGAAGCTGCCCAGGGAGACACTGTTACCACTGACCCAGCTGCCTTACAGGACCACCATTCCTGCTCCCCACCATCACCACGTCCCTGGTGTGAGCAGACTCCTCTGCTGTCCCTGCTGCCCAATCCATGCACTCATCGGGCTCACCTCTGGCTATTCCCTGCACCCAGGGGCAGACTCGCTTCATTCTGCTGAATAACTGGAATCCTTTAGGAATCCTTCCGCGTGTTTCAGCCATTCTTGTGGCTCCAGGTAAGGAGTCCTCTCCCAGAGTGCAGTCTGCAGTCTGCCAGCTCCACGTGTTCCCGCAGACCACTCGCCACTAAACGCTTCAGACTGGCACAGGAGAAAAAATGGAACTGGTGATCAGAAATGAGACCAGAAAACAGATCACACTCTGCTTTCTCCACACCAGGAGATGAGCTTGGCTTTCCTGTCCAAAGTACATTCTATTTCCATGTGCACAGGTAGGCTCCAGGAGGAGCCTGAAACACCTTCTTCACTGTGTGCTCATGGCTGAAGCTTGGTCTGTGTTGTCCTTTCCACCAGTGCCTAAATATGAGCATGTACAAAGTACCCACATGGCACAGAAGGAGCTTCTCTGTATCAGGAGATCACAGTGACAAGGAAAGTTAAAGGCATTGGCGAATAATAAAAAATAGGGAATTTGGAATCTGGTGGGTTTTATACTATTAAATAGGTCAGTTCTTCATTTTCAGTAAGGGGGAGAACCCTCAGTGGTACAGTATCTCATTAAAAACCGGCTGTCCCTCGCTTTCACAGCTCTCTTCACCTTCAGTCTCACCCTCTGTTCACAAACTGTATCTTTGTTTTAGACTACTATGCAAGTGGATAACCACAGAATGTACTGAGTGGGCAGGGGACGGCTCCAAAGCCTGTGGGACAGGGACAGACACCCCTCTGTCATCCAGGTGAACAGACCACACACCTGCCTGCAGCCCTTTTCCCTCTGTAGTCAGTGTCTTGCACTTGAAGGTAGCACAAGCTTTGCTCATGGCCCTCAGCAGCACAACCCACTTCAGGGTCAACAGAAGGGTGCAGGAACCTGCAAACTTCAGCACATCCCAAAACCTCTGCTAGAAGCCTCTCTGGAGTTTGTGAGATCTCCTCACCCTACTGAGTGCCTTGGCCTTGCTGCTTCGTGGGATTTTCCCACTCATACCTAGGAACAATTTTTGGGAAGGTTGTTTTGTAACATTGTACCAGTTAAACGAGGATGCTGATGAAGAACATAAGAGGTGTCTGCCGAGGTGCTCCGAGAGGCACAAAAAGGAACCTGTGGAACCACAAAGACTCACCCCTGGAGCAGCTGAGCTCCGAAACTGCTGCTGGAGGAAAAGCTACTGAGGGACCTTGGCAGCCACAAGTCATGCTGAGAACCCTCTCCCAGGCAGGGCTGCCCCAGCACAAAGCTCTGCCATCTGCCCCAGGAGCCAGTGGACATGCCCTAGGAAGGTGACAGATTTGGGGATTAGCCCTGGGAGTTGGGTGGAAGAGCTGGGGTGTCCCTCCCCGAGGCTGCTGTTCACGCTGTCCCTTCTTGTGCTGGATCTGGACAGGCCCTGTGCCTGACCTCCCTCCCTGCAGCTACAGCTGCCAGAGCCAGAAACTTCCCATTGTTAAAGCTCAACTGGTTTTCTAAAAACAAACTTTCTAGCACTTTTCCACACAGTGAAAAACCTCTTTTAATGGAGTATTTTGGGGGCTGTAAACAAGGTTTTTAAATTGTAATTAAGTGCCATTAGGAAATGTACGGTTCATCACTAAAATTAGCTCTTGCAAATGAAGCTCAAATTGAAAGCATTTTTTTTATAATGAAGTTGTTTATTAAAAGCATTTGGATGATCTGCCCCAGGCGTATTCTTGGAAAGGAATTGGGGTTTGGTTGGTTTAAGTAAAGACAGAATCATAAACCAGGACAAAGACACAGTTCCCTACATGAAGCCACACAGGTTTTTCTTTCAAGCAAAGAATTACATCCCCCCCCCAAAAAAAGACTCAGCATCCCCTTGGGGCTGCAGCCACAGCCCAACACTATTATTCCCTGTCAAGGAGAATAATGTTTGTTAGATAGAAAGTTCTGGTCACTTGGTTTCACTAGAATTTCCAGCCCATGTGGTAGCATTTCAGACGAGTCCAGCCCACGCCCCCTCCCAAATAACTCCGACATGCTCCACTCCCCAAGGGCAGCAGAACCAGGACCAAACCTTAAGCTATGAGCAGCTGCAGGCACCAGCAAGCATTTGGAGATGAAAAAGGGTGAAGCACACCCTCCCCTCTCATGATTCTCCTTCAGAACACCGATTAAAAGCTGACAGCCACCATAAGTGTTCAGGTGCTTTTCTCTGGGTTCGATCTGGTTTTCATTCCTAAAGCAGCTGCTGGTGAAACGTGCCCTTTCCTCAGCTGCTTTCCCCTGCAGCTGAGGGCTGTGACAGGACATGAATACACTCAATCTGCCAAAAAATAAGAAAGAACTTCAGCACAGATTGTCCTGTTGGTGGAGCTGAAGCTTCCTTGGCCTTTTTGAAAGGGAAAAGGGACTGTTCTGATGATTTCCAAGGTCTGATTCAAACATTTGCCTGCTCTGGTCTCAGTCACAGACATTCAGCAGCCCCTGAAACCTGCACCCCATAACCTGGGGGAAGCACATCCATTGCTCTGCTGGGCAGAACACCTCAGGAAAGAGGAATTCATTCTCCCTCCCTCAGGCAGCATTCCAATGGATGCTGGCTGCTCTCCTGCCATGCATTCCCCCAACAAGCTCTGGGAAGCCATGGATGGCAATGTTGAAGGTTTAGCTTCCACAGCACCAGCACATTTCCAAACTCCCGTTTGGAAGGAAATGGCAGCTCCCTTCTGATCTGTCCTCTCACCTCTGCTGCTCTAGAGCACCGTGTATCTGTCCAGCACTGCCATCCAACAGTCCTGCTGCTCTTCCCATCACTGCTACACACATCAAACAACAGATCTCAAACGAGAGACAGCTGCTCAAAGGATCTTACCCTGCAGCACATCCAAATGCCTCAACCGGCGGCATAATTACAATACATGGCAGCATTCAGGACATGCCACACTGGGAGAAACTTACTGCTCAGTCAAGTTTACCAGGAGACAAATATTGCAAAGAAAACTCAAGTATTCCAAGCTCTGCTTTTGTCTGAAGCCACACGTCACAGACCACGCGGGTGTCGAACAGGCCAAGTGTTACAAAAGGAAATTCTCCAGAGGTGGCTTAGGAGAACCCAGGAGAGCAGGATGACAGGACAATGGCAGATTTATTTACAATAGGACACAAAGAATACATACATTAATTAAAAATTACAAAGAATACAGAGAAAACAGTTCAGGAAAGGGAGAGAAATCAATGCTGGCTGAGCCTCTCCACTGGGGCAGGGGCAGAAGAAAAAAAAGGGAAGGGAAAAAAAAATAAATCAATCAAAATCTCAGAAAAGGACCTCAAATTAGAACTGACACAGGACTCCATAGCACAGCTGGCTCACACATCCCCTGCTCCCTTTTTCCATCCATGATTCCTGGCTGATTGGACTTTGGCATGATGAGCAAGGCTGACGGGAAAGGACATGGGCCCTTGCGTGGACCTGGTGGAAACTGATGACAATTAGGGTTAAAAAGAGCCCCAAAGCCCTCAAGGGTGCACATCAGTGCTGGGAGCAGGGAGGGCTTTGGGCAGTTCTGGGTAGGAACAGCGTGACCTGTGGCAGCTGGTCATTGGGAGACCTTACTACAAGAAGCAAAACTTTCTTAGATCTCACTAAAAAACCTCTGCCCTGTAGCCCTGACTGAATCCAGCTACTCTGGGGATGTAGGGAGTCTGCACTGCAATGTGGAACCTTTTTACTGATAAACATCATCGAAGTGACCTAAATAAAAAATAACTTTGACCTCTTTTAAAAAGAGCTTCCCAAGGGCCAATTCAGGCATCAAGCCACGTGAAAAGAGCCCACATCAGCTGTCCTGGAGGGCTTGCACTGGTTTTTGTGGAGAAGAACAAAGTACAGCTTAGGGGCATACGCTTTTCCTGTTCCCTGGAGGTAGAGAATTTCAGAGGAGGAGCAGAGAGCAGCGAGGGTGGCCAGAGAGGGGACCAGCAGGGAGACAGCCCCACTCCCAGGCCATGGGCGAGCTCCACAGGGCCACCTGCTCTGTGCCCAGCCCCTTCAGCACGGCCTGCACACCCCTGGGGCAGCTCAGGCCCAGCACTGCCTCAGATTGCTTGGCACTAACGCCGCAGCACCGCAGCCGTCCCTCCATCTCTCCGCAGGCTCCGCGTGATCCCAGCGGCGTTCCCAGGATGGAGCCCGCCCCGTTTCCTCATCCATATGGAGCAGAGCTATTGACAGAACAAACCCCGATCGGTACCTCAGGCGTCCTTCCAGTCCTGTATTCCAGCACAACCCCGGAGGTTACATCCTGCCTTCTGAAGGAGAGGCAATCCCACCCTCCTCCCCTCAGCCCTTTCAGCAGAGGCACCCGCAGCGGCCCGTGCTGTCCGAGGCTGGAGGGAGGGAGCGGCGATGCCGAGGGCTGCAGTTGTCAAGCTCTCCCAGGGTGAAATTGCACTTCCCAGGCTCCAAATGGCACCTCCAGCAAATTGTAAACAAGCCGAAGCCAGGACTTCGGTGGTTGGAGCACACCGGACTCCCGCTGGGTGAGCCTTTAGGCTCCGGTTATTTTGCCATAGTCAAGCTCCCTCTTCTGTGCAGACACGAAGGCAGGAGAAAAACCCAGTCTGATGCTCGTCTGAAGAGTCTCCCTGAATCCTAGAGCACCCCAGGGGCTGGAAGAAAACGTTTTCACAAGTGTTTCCACTGCTGTTTCAAATCCATTCGTCATCAACATAAAAAAAAAAAGGATGAATTAGCAAAAAGGGGGTTTTACTTATACAGAGGGATATTTCTCTGCTAAAAAAAAACTCCCTCAAATATGGAACAGGATAATAAAGTTAAAATGTACGGTATCTACAGACCCCTTTTCCCCCAGAAGTAGCCCAGAATCCATGTACACTGTGCCAAAAGTTACATTCCAAATCGAGGAGTTAATTATTTCTCTCGTCTCTCTCTCTCTCTTCCACTGGATTTCGTTTCCTTAAAAAGAGCTGGGAGAAGATGTCCACGTCACTCCCGGGAGGACACGCGTTCGGAGGCGCCTGATCCCTGCTGGGGCTCTGCAGCTTCAGTCGATCTTCACAGCGGCGTAGATTTTCCGGACGAACATGTAGGCTGCGTAGAAGCCGATGGTGCCCGTGAGGAGCCAGAAGGACAGGACCATGAGGGCGGTGTAGCCAAAGTACAGCAAGGAGGGAATGAACTCAACAATATCCAGCTGAAACAGAAGAAGAGGGGAGAAAAAAAAATGAGCAAAATTGCCAAAGGGAGGGTTTATTTTCATCCAGCTGAACAGATTCCCTTCGAGGTGGGGTTGGGAATGCTGCTCCACACACAGGTGATGTGGGCAGGGTCCCAGGGCACCTACAGCCTCCTCTTCCCCTCTGGCAGGGCTGTCAGCACTGCTGTGTGCTCAGCTGCCTTGGGCTGACATGGGACAGACCAGAACTGTGCAGTCTCACCATTTCCTTTCCCAAATCCCCCAGCCTTCCCCAGAAAGGCAGCACTTTCATACAGGAGGAATAACAATACCTTGTTCACAAAGTAGAATACAGCGTAGATCAGCACATAGAAGGCAGATCCTCCTGACACCAGGAAGGTCCTCCACCACCAGCGATAATCCTGATAGGACAAAGAGCCTCATTATCTCACAGGCATCCTTCTCCTGTGGGATAATAATCCTTCTCCTCTCTCAGGGGAGCTGTGACCATTCCAGGACAGGGAGAATATCACACATTTTCCTTCAAAGGAAACCCACAATTTGGGGTGGGGAACTGTTTTGTCACAAAAGGGTTTCCAAACCAAGAGGACAGGAAGCTGACAGTGAAGCAAAGCCAGGTCAGGCTCACAGCACCTGGACGTGGCTCATCTCCGGCCCTGCATTTGTTTTTGTATGTGCATGGAACAAACCAGTTTCTTTGAGAAGAGATGTCAGCTGAAAACACCCTGCACCCAGCAGAATTCCTGCTATGAAACCACAGTTCCCAGCCTAACAGATAATCCAGGAGCTTCAATTCCCCTTGAAGCCAAGAGGTGTTGGGGGCAATCCCACCCGTGAAGCTGGGCCACAATAATTTCTGCTGAGCAGCAGCAGCATGGCCTGTGTGCTTTTCCAGGAGCAAGTACCCTGAGCCACCCAAACTGCAAACACGGAAATCTCACCTCAGCACAGAGCTGGAAGTACACCATGACAATGCTGATCTGGGAGCAGGATACCACCAGAATTATAAACACCAGGAAGAGAAAGCCGAAAAGGTAATAGAACTGGTTCTCCCAGATTGCCTGAAACAAAGACACAGCAGGAATTTGCTTCTGTGCTACTGTGATCAATCACTGAACATGGGACTAACTTCTGGCAGCCAACCAAGGGAAAATGAGGAGCCCCTCAGCCTCATGTAGATGAAAACACAGATCTAATGTGTCTCACAACATCATTTCAGAGGATTCAGGTTGCAAAAAGGTGCACAAGGACAGCTCTGATATAGCTTGTTTGTTCCCCTACACCTCCCAAGCAATGGAACAGCAAATTCCTCCCTGTCCAGACAAGGTGAAAAATGGGCAGCAGCTGAAACAGTGACTGCCTTAAGAGGAGGACCCCTCCTTGATGAGATGTTACAGTAAATTTCATCTTTAGCACAATCCTTCAAATCACCAGCTCTCTGTCCCACAGCTCTCTCTGGAAACTACTGAATGGCCTGGAGAGAACAGCTATCCCCCTTCACTGAGTACAGGAATAGGACACTGCTCCAGTGGAAGCCCCTTCCCTTTCAAAAGCTTTGGCATGAGAGGAATCCTATTCAGGAGCAAAGTGGGTTAAATGCTTACACTGAAAATGAAGAACAGTTCGATGAACATGGCTCCGAAAGGCAGGATACCAGCCATGAGGATCCTACAGAGCCAGAAACAAAAACCGTAAGCAGCACAATAAAACTGTTCAGACATTAAAAATTCCTTGTAACCACACAGCACACGCTCCAGAGGCTCTACAGCTCCAGATTACTAAAATAAATTTCACAGGCAATGGCACAGCTGCTCCCACTGCTGAGCACATACCACTGCTACAAGCACCCCTCGTGCCACGTCCAAATTACCAATATTGTCTCAAGGAACCCCATCTGCCATCTGTCCATGTCCAGAGACCAGCAGAAAGCCATGTTCAGCAACCCAAGGGGACAAAGGGGAGGGGATTAACTCACCGTATTTCCCAGACATTCATCACTCACCCCACGAATTTATTCATGTACCACCTCTGCTCCGGGATCTGCCTGGGAATCTGATTTGTCCGTACAGGATTGTCGTAGGGCTGCTTGCGAAATCCAAAGTAGTAACCCAAGTAGACCAAGGGCAAGGAGATCCCAAACCACATGCAGAGCAAGGCCACCATGGTAGGGAAAGGCACCTGGAATTACAAGAGTCACAAAAGTGAGGCCAACAGCTCACCTGCCCTGGAGGACTGATGTCATCAGCCAGGCCAACCCCCCAGTCACCCACTGCAAGGACACCCACATTTGGAAAGGTCTGGGAAGACAAGAAAGGTCCTGTCAGCCCAGTCACCCCCTCCCACCCAGCAGGCCCAGGCTGAGGGTGGTACCTACCGCACCAGAGGAGTGTTTCCCCCAGATGAAACAGTTCAGGATGAAGCAGATGCCGAAGACGACGCCCGGGTACAGGGTCGCTGTCTGCAAGAGCAACCACAGCACAAGAGAAGGCACATGACTCCATCAGCCAGATGTTCCTCTGTAATGAGCCCATGGCTGCGATAAGGCACACACAGAGTAGTGTCCCTTTTGCTACAGCATGAGGACACAGAGCTGGGGGGAGGATCTTGGACAATCCTCTCAGTTCTACCCTGGTGTTTGCCCTTTTCTGTAGAGCTACAAGGACTCAACCCAGAGCAAACCTGAAGCACAGCCAGGCTGTGTCCAGCTGCCACAAACATGTGTGGAGCTCATCCACAGATCCTGCCATCAGCAAACCTGGATAAACAGCACAGAACATCCAAGACTCACACAAAAGGCTCCCTTCTTCCACCGATGGCCTTTCAGAGTCCGGTATAAGCGGCCAGCAAAGAATCCACCAAAAACCCTGGACAGAAACAAGCCAAGACAAAGAGAATGAGCTGTTGCTGCTGGGGAGGTGCAGGACAGCACTGGGGGGAAACCCTGGAGGCACCTACCCCATGAACATGAAGAGGAAGCAGGCAGTTGTCATCAGCGCACCCCGGCTCGAAGGCGACAGCATCCCCAGCATAGCAACAACTGCAGAGGGAAACAGGACAAGGAACAGCAGCTCTGAGGTACATGGGACAAGGGCCTGTCCCATCCACAGGTCACAGCTGCCTGGAATCTCTGCAGAGGCCTCATTTCCTTCACAGCATAACACATCCACAGCCTCCAGCACCGGCCAGAGAGAGGAAGCTTTGATCTCAGCTACAGACCATGCCTCGGCTTCCCCAGGGATGGGAGCAGGTGCAGCTCAGCAGGCAAGGCACACCTGTCCAAGAGTCTCTCAGCCCAGTGTCACCCAGGGCTCACAGCTTGGCAACACGGAATATAATCACATTGAGCTGCCTTCAGCTGGGAAATGCCATTGGGCAGCTCAGCAACGCCGAGCCCGGGCCAAAGGAAGCAGCTTTATGGGCCTCACTCCAGCCCAAGTGAGCACAGGGTGAAGACAAACACCCTCAGGCACCATCCTTATTACAGCCACCCCATGCACCACGTGCCACTTACAGATGACAATCAGGATCATACAGAAGAGCTGAATTCCAGAACCCAGGAGAGAGCTGAGGATCATAGGATACTGTGGAGGCCTGAAGACATCCCCATGCACAAGTTTCCAACCAGATTCCTCCATGGTATCTTCCTGGAGCAACAACAGAAAAAGGAGGTTAGTTAGATATGATATGCCAGTGGAAACTGAAGTCCTATCACAGCCAGCCTAAGAGGGTAACTTCCCTGGATGCAGATCTTCTCCAGAATTTTACCCTCTAGCCAAGAAACTTCTTTCCTCTTGGGCTTAAAACAGCTGAGACCTGAACTGCCAGTGCCAGGGCACACATTTCCAGAGCTGTCTGCAGTCATTACTCAGGTCTGAAGACATCTGCACTGCCAATGTACACTGACAACCAGAGATGTGTGACAGCACGACAGAACAGCCCCTCCCACGGCCAGGGCTTGGAGCAAAACAGGGGCAAGAGAAGAGACTCTGCCCAAGAGGTCCCTCCTGGCCTGTGCTTCCCTCCCTCCCTGATCCCAGCCCCAAGAACAAACACATACAATGTCATCTTCCTTGTTGTAGTTGGCGATGTCCTTGCGCAGGGTCCGGATGATGATCATGCTGAGAATCCCTGAAAACAAGCACAGACTGTGTTCAGCTCAGAGGCTCCTACATGGCTGTGCTGCTCTCACACTGTGCAACTACACGCTGTTCTGTCTGGGAGAGGAGGCCTTGAGTCATCAGCAAAGACAGAAACAAAACCCCAGGGAGTAGGGGAGGCAGTATTCCAGCAGCAGCAGGGCACTGTGGCTTTCCTGTGTGGCTTTTTTTTTTTTTTTTTTTTTAATTTAAATATAAACATGCAAGATGTGCATTCACCACATACTCCCTCAGTGACCCCAGCCAGGCGGGTAACTGCCTGACCCCACAGGGCACTGTCTGAACCGGGAGGTTTTAAGTGCTGATTTTGGTTTCCTGCCCTGTCTGCCCAGGTTCAGACA